CCACCAGCAAAGATCCCCCCCTGAAAACCATCTAATAAAGCAATATGTTCATTTGTTTATTTCCTTTTTATAATTGCATGTGCATTTGAAAGATTTTCTATGTAATAAATGTGAAATATGTATGTGATAAACATACATTGTGCAGACACCACAGCAATGAAATTGAGCCAATATCCAATTAGTGTGAGGGAAGCAGAAACAGCAGTTCCCCTCCAGTCCGCTAGTGGCCACCAGTGACTGAGGCCACATGTCAGCCGCTTCCGCCTGTTTATAGCCTCGCTCCCGGCATCCTTTGCCCTCTTCTACCAGCTCGGTCCAACATGGTGGGTCATCTTTACAATTCTATGTGCTGTGTAATCCATTGCCATCCTGTGTTTTAAGCGCCAGACCCGGCTCCATCACCCCCGTGCAGGCTCCTTTGGCCCCGTCGCTTGTCTTCTCCATGGAATATTAGCGGCGGCTGGTGATCCTTACATGTAGTAATGAGAGACGGAGCATAGCAAGGCGTCATGGAGGATCGCCTACTGCTCGGCGTCTCCTTTATGATGGCCGTGGTGGCGCTGGCTGGTTGTCTGTGTGCTGTGATTGTGCTTCGTGTGGAATGAGCGGTGTTCGGCGTCTTGTCAGACTTCCCCGGGGTTGCGGCCTGTAATGGGTGCTGCTCTCTCTTCCTTCCCCGGTGCGGGGCCCGGATATGGGGATGTATAGGACGAGTGGAGCGGAGGGGGGTGAGCTGGTAATGCAGGATACATGGTGAGGAGTATAATGATATACTGCATACAGCCCAGAGCTGCTTTTCCTTGTCTGGGGGTGGAGGAGGGAAGTGATTGTAAGCGAGTCCTATCCTGGCTTATTCTAGTCTACAAGCCGGTGTTCTGTATGAGGCCTGAGCTGTAGATAATGGTGAGGGGGGTCAGCAACCTTTCCACTAGTTGTGGAACTACAAAGCCCTTCATGCCTCTCTGACAGTCTTGTAATGCTACATGGGACTTGTAGTTCCATAAGAGTGACAGGCATGATGGGATTTGGAGTGCTGAGCTTGCCCCGCCTGGAATATTGTCAGCTATCTTCTGATTTGTGCATTGTAATTATCCTGATTGTTCATTTTTCTAAGTATGAGCTTGTTCACTCCATGTTTTATGCAATTCTGCGAGTTCAGCGTTACCTTTTTATTGCTGTGTGTATCCCATGAGGCTATTTCTTCTCACTTCCTGTACCAGGAACGGTGGTCACACGGAGGAACATTCCCCCAATAGGGATACAATAGCAATAAAACATTCTAGCTTCCTGTACAATACTAAATAACATGTCAATTCCTAATCGGTTTTACTATCGTATATGTTGTCAGGTGAGATTACCGCTTACTTCCTGTCCCGGTGATGGCATTGTCACAAGCAGAGGAAGTGGGAGGAAATCTCCCTGAAAGAATCTAACCCTTTTCCATAAAAAGAGGGAAAAGTCATTCAGCTGGCTTCCCTTTTTAAAGCTTTGTTGCCCCAATGACCTGCATCGAAAGTGATTGTGGTACTGTATGTGTCCCGGTCATTGATACTGCAGGGATAGCAGCATGTGAAAGCATTTCCCGTGTTTGGGGTTCATCCACCAGAGCTACCAAACCCTGAGGCTTTCACACACCGTTACTGGCGTCGTACAACATGTGTTGGTTCAGTAAAACACTGCCCTCCCTTATGATGATGGACAATGAAGTGAAATAGGTCAGTTACTGTGCTGCTGCCCCCCCCCCCCCCCCCCCCCCAGACACACCCACATGGTGCTCTATAATGTGTTGCTGGGATTTGTAGTCCTCTATAGCTGGTGGTATAATATACAGTACA